AGCCTGGGGGGGGGGGACAGCCTGTGTCTGTCAGTTCACTGTGCGTCCATCCTGCCACCCTCCGACTCACCCTTTCAGTCGGAAACCATAAACGTGTCAGTGGCACAGAGCGAGGTCTACTGTGTGAAGCTCCCCCCTCCCCCCCCCCCTACCCTGCCCTCTGCCAGCCCTTCCTTAATCATTCGGTTAGACAGTAGCAGTGAATGACATTTCCCCTAGGCCCAGTGGACACAGAGGTAAAGCCAAGGCCAGGGGTGGGGCGGTTCTAAAGTAAAAGTATAAACTGCCACTTTACTAAGTAGTTTGAGCATTGTTTATAGCTCTCTATATATTACAATTAAAACAGATTAACTCTCCCATTTAGTTTGATATATGTTTATGTAGTTTAGTGAGTAGAAACAACTTTCTGCTCCTGTTTATCAGTGGTGTAAAGTAACTAAGTACATTTACTCAAGTACTGTACTAGATTTGAGATACTTGTACTTGAGTATCTCCAATAATAATAATGTTACGTTTCAGAACAAATTAGGTTCAACTTAATATTATTGCTTTCAACTAATCTAATACATTTATGTGAACTTTTTTGACATTATACATTTAATTAAAGTCAACGTTTCAGTGTACAAGCTTTGATGAACAGATTAGTACATCAATAATTATAATAAAACATATAATATATGGAGTAATTTGCCTAATACGTCATTTTACTTTAGGTACTTTAAGTATATTTTGATTGTAATACTTTTGTACTTGAGTAACATGTTGATTGCATGACTTTTACTTTTAACAGAGTATCACTCTGGTACTTCTACTTTTACTTAAGTACAAATTCTGAGTACTTGAACCACCTCTGCTGTTTATTGAGTGAATACAAATGGGAACCATGAGTTGTCACCAGGATGTTTTTCCAGCACAATATTGAACTGTTCCTGACTTCCCTACATCACACATCTGGGCAGCGGTGGAGCCGGTCTCCTTTGGGTGGGACACTTCTTGTACCTTTCAGAAACCTTCAATCCAACAATAAAATACACACAGCAAATGAACAGCTGCATGGAGGTGTGGGAGTAAGGCAGGATTTAAACCTCTGCTTCAATCTTAATACAAGTGTATTGCTTACAACTGAGAGAAACACATGATTACCCTTTAGGAAGGATTGTCCACATGGTGTGACAGTTGTACAATAACATGTTTATGACAATGCGCTGGGGTTAGTTTTAGTACAGAGTCTGTTCAACTTGTGAACCACCCCAAGAACCAGTTTGCTTTTTACCAACTGAACCCCTGATGGGCTCCACGTCTTGAAATGTCCCCTCACAGTGACAGTAATGGCGGAATACGTTGGAGTTGTGCTCACGTTGCCCCCCTTTGTTGTATTTTCGATAAATGTGTAGTTTTTTTGTTTTTCATTTAAAATGTGTGCCAAACGTAATCCCATAAACAAAGGATCGTACAAATTGAAATGTTCTGGTATTAAATGGATGAGGTTAGCCGAGCCACTCAAACCATTCTTACTAAGCATAATACAAATGTAATAAATATTTAAATTCTTCCGGCATTTTTAATGGTAGAATGCCATCACACTCTATATTAAAGTTAACTGAGCATACGCATGACATATTCATTATTCACCATAACAAATTGAATAGGTAGGTATTTGTTGCTATCATTGTCGCATTGGACGTTTTCTACCATCATATCATTAAATTGTGTTATTTCGCCCGATCTGTCTTAAGATATGACAATTTGTGTATGTAGTGATTAAATCTGATACCCTGTGTAAAAACAAAAAACAACATATCCAGGAGTGCCCTGCCGCTGTTCAAAACAGCTAATGATATAACAGCCACAGTGATATATGCAGGTATTTAAAGTATGGTGAACTATGAACAATGTGTGCCTTTTTCCTGGTTAACGTTCCACAATGTTTCTAAAATGTTTAATTTCATTTTAGCCCCTTTTTGGTCTTGGTACTTTCTTGAACACATTTTTACTGTCAGTCATACTCACATTGAAATGCTCACATACGTAAAACCCGCCCTATCCTCTGACGTAGGTTTCCCCCGTATCCAGCTCTGGACTCTGGGTGCCAACAAAGCAAATAGTTGGTTCTCGAGGTGAACCAATGTTTGGGGCTGAGAGCAGGTGTCTTTGCAGTGGAAATACAAAGAATTGATAATCAGGCTCTTCAGCTCAGGAACTGTCGCAGTGGAAAAGGGGAAAGGGAGTCATCAGAACTGTTTTTGCTTCGGCTTAAAGCATAATTACAACAAAATGGGCAAAATGAAATTGAAATATGAGATTTTTTTCTTTTTTTCTTATACTTTTTGACAGTACTTACAATGTTGCACCAAATGGCCTGGCCAATGACATTGTGATCCCACTGTAAATGCATCATCCAAGTAGCCTTATTTAGACACAGATATAAGCATGGCAGCAGGGTATGCCATAAGCCTTTAAATTGGGAATGAAGGAAATGATTACCGATCACAGACTGTAATTTAAGGTAAAACAGCCCCACAAAAAACCCAGTACCCATGAGCCTACAGGAGCGGACCCCTGAACCCCCCAGCAGCCTTGGATCCTCCTTCCAGTTCTCTTTGTTTCCCACGTCTCCGTTCCGCAGTGTTCCCAGCAGCCTTCGGGACAGGAGGCCATGGAGCAAAAGTTCTCCACAAGCCTTATGTCACGTACACCATCCCCTGCCACCTGAAGCTGTGTGTGAGAGTGTGTGTGTGAGAGTGTGTTTGTCTGTGTCTGTGTCCCTGGCAACTCAGCGAGACGATGACAGACTGATGAGTTCCTGACTACAAGAGAAACGGTGAGCAACAGGCCGGCCATCCGCTCAGCTCTCCTCCTTCCCCTGGACAAGCTGCCTTCTTCCTGCAGGACACGCACACACACACACACGCACGCACACACACACACACACACACACACACACACACACACACACACACACACACACACACACACACACACACACACACACACACACACACACACACACACACACACTCTACCTTCCATACTGTCTTATTAAGAATCCAAACTGTGGTCACTAAAGGAAATCAACATTGGACAGGAAGGTCTCATAAAAAGTGAAAGAAAACAGCAGTAGATGGCAATGGAAAAATACATGGTAATATTATATGTGATCAAATCTAAAAAGATTACAACTTTAAAGAGCAATTTATAAAAAAAGAGGAAGTTATAAAAAAGAGGATTAAAAAATATGAAAACCACTAAGAACTACCAGGCAATTTAATGTAGTTTGAGGGTGGAGGGATGATGATAGAAAACAGTTAACAGCCATCTCTGGAGTTGGAGGAGGGGCAGATCATTTCTGAAATGTAGGGCCATCCTTTGTATAGTTGTGAAATGAAATAAAAGAGCCTTCAAATCTGTCCTGGCACCTGCAGAGAAATATACATGATGTTTTAGTGCTCACTCGCTCACTCTCACTCACACACACACACACACACACACACACACACACACACACACACACACACACACACACACACACACACACACACACACACACACACACACACACACACACACACACACACATCATGCAGGGTGCTGGCCTGAAAACTTCAACAAGTGGACAGGAGGAGGTGGGCATCAAACTAACAACCCTATAAGCACTGTTATCCTCCTGATCGGCAGCAGGAATGAGTCCTAAAACCGGAATGAGCGGTTCCCTTGTCTGGAAAGTCAGTGTGTTTTTTAATGAGTTTTTGGTTAATTTCCAAAAACAAGTTCTGTGGGTTGGCGCTATACATTTATGTGTTATTTAGTAATGAATCATTTATTTTCCAGCTGTTTTTCTTTATATAAATTAATCATTATTGATTGTAATTATTTTAGTTACTTAAAAGTAATTCTTTATGCTTTTATTTTGAAGGCGGTGTAGGCCACAGAGGGATTTGGGCACCTGGTGATTATGTATTTATTGGAGACAGGTAAATGGTAAATGGACTCTATTTATATAGCACTTTATCTTTGTTACCCCTCAAAGTGCTTTACACACTACGAGTCATTCACCCATTCACACCTCATTCATGCAGAGCAGTACCACTTGCTCTGGGAACATTCACACACACTCTCACACACACACCGTTGGCCATCGGGAGCGACTCAGGGTTCAGTATCTTGCCCAAGGACACATCGACATGTTGACTGCACGGTGGTGGGATTGGTTCACCAGAATGAGCAAATGTTTTGTTACCAGGGGAAACCCAGGAGAAGCCACAGGTGAAACCCCTTCTGTATATATGTTGGATTATTTCAATTCTAAAAAATAAAGCTCTTACCTGGACAATGAATAATTTCCCCACGCGTAAGATTGGCTTACTGGTGCCCAAGCGGCAGTTTTTGTTTGAGTAAAATGATCGGTGTTATTTCTTTATTTCACTACTACAATAAGCTTACAAGATGTTCACGTTTAGTTTTATATGTCTTAATGAAGGTGGTTCCTAACAAATGGCTGAATGAGACCACTTAAAGTCATCATGACCAACATTAGCAGCCCTTAGCTTAGCGGTGGTGATTGGTAAGTCATGCAATCGTGATGTAGTTTGTTTATAGCATCACATTAGCATTTTACTCCTGGCTATTGCATTTACGCTTCAACTATTATAAAAGTGGTGTTATTATTAGGAGATTATCCTGCTGAACATAACGTGTAATTATCATAAACGTGTGTTTGCCACAGATCTTATTTTTTGCAATATTCTAAAATCCAATGGATAAATCCCATTGCTTTTGTTGAGGGAACCTTTTCGATGCTAACTTCCTGGTTGGCCTACAAAAATACATCATCCCTGCATTATCATTGTCATGATCATGATGAAAAAGTATATAGACCCTGCCTACATGTTAGCATTTAGCAACACACTCAGACAAACTCAGACACACAGACAACCGCATAAAGTAAAAATATTTTATTTAGAAATGATTATTCTTTTTGAAAATAAGTTTAAGAAATCCAGTGATATATGAAAATAATCAATAATCAGGTTAAAGTGCAAAAATACAGTTTTGATATAATGCATCTATACAAAAATAACATTGGGATGTGATATTGAAAAGGAGAAAATATGTTAACATGGCTTTGATCATTCTCAGTTTGTACAAAAAATTACAAGAGTTGTGTACCTTTAAAGTCTTTGGATTACAAGCTTAGTATTTGCACTGAGCAACCGCAAGGTCGTGTTTCGCTTAACATTCCACACATCCGTTGCCAAGTCAGGCTTTGATAACTAAGTATACACTTCTCCGCTAAGGCTTATTTCTGTTTTATTCCTTTCAGAATTGGCTGGTGAAATATTTCATCCTTGAGGAGTATTCCCACGGAAGCAGAGCGCTCTGCCTCTTTGACTGTTGTTGTCTTTGGTCGTGTTTTTCCAGTGTCCCCGTCCTCCCCTGCTGGCAGAGTGACTCATTTGATCTTGGCTGGCTTCAGTTCCTTGACCTGCATGTGTAGTGTTTTGTGGACCGCCAGCGTCCTGGACTGGCAGAAGCCCTTCCCGCACTCCTGACACTTGAAGGGCTTTTCTTTGGAATGAATGTACCTGTAGAGAACAGAGGAGACGCCGGTTAGTATCAAGGGAGTGTGATCACGACAAGGGGTCAACATTCAGAGGCATAAGTGTGTAGAAGTGTTTTCTGTTAGTTTCTGTCTTTCCGTTTTCCACAGTCTAAGTGTGCACAGTCTAAGAGATGATGCTAATTTTACTTTTTTAGGTCAACAAACCATCAGATCGAAGCCAAACCATGAACTTTGAATGTGATTGAAAACTGCTCACATTCTTCTTACTTTTAACGTTTGAAGTCAGATTGGTGCCACAGTGAGTCTCTATCAGGCTAGTCAGCTAGAATGCTAATTTCAGTAGATTTTTCCGAAACACAATACATGGACGTCTTTGACATATTTTCAACACTGTAACCTTCTAAACTGTTAAAAATGGTAGAAGTGATTCTAGCATACCTTACACATTGTCCCTTGAACGTTTAGAGCTTTTTACACTAGTTAATGAATGTATCATTGATGTAATAAAAATCATGCCTATGTGTGTTTTGAATAAGCAGGGACTTGAATACACTTCTACAATAAACTGTTGCAAAAAGTAAACATTGAAGCTCCAAATGTTCCCCACTCACACCCCCATGTCCTTGAAACAATCCCTCTGCACTTGTCAACTTGTGTCAGGTTTGACAGTTCTTACACATCATGTATTTCATCCTGTCATCGTTAGGAAAGGTTTTGCCCACCTTGACAGTTTTCTTCTGAATCCTTTCATCTGCACACAGACTACTGACTGTGCAGTTATTGTGACACATTCAACATCTTATGTCATCTCATTACAGTGACAACATTTTTCATAATGGACTAAGTAGTCACCTTTTGAATTAAGCATTTAACAAAGAAACCTTTCTCCATTAAGCCTTACAGCATATCTACACAGGAGGCAATTCACCTAACCCTAAACCTAACACCCAACTACAGCAGCTACTGGCAGGTGTCTACCTAGGCTGTGTTTCACTTACACTATATGCACATAATGTAGATATTCCTGTTCACGTGTGGTTGTGTGTTTAGTGCAGTCAAAACGCAAGTGATCCACTCCAAATGTGTCTATTTTTACTTTCTAGTGTGGATTGAAAGAACTAATCCTTTTGAGTGTCTATAGGCAAAAGTGTTTATAACCCAACTCTTAGGCAACCCAATTTAGGAATTAGTACGCAAAAGTGATAATTTTCTGGAAATGATGTAAAATGATGTGCTAATTTGGATGGAAATTGACTATAGAAAGGTGACATACACAGCCCTATATGAAGACTGTAAATAAAGAAGACACATTCTGCTCCATTTCAGGTTCAAATCAGTATTTTAGTTAGCTGGCCAGCTCTGTTGTGATTGGTCAACTGCTTAGAGATGTCCCGCCCCTTAGCCTATCACGTAAAATGAGTTGTAGCGCTAGCCAATAGAAGCGCAAGTGTTAGAAAGTGATTTGTCATTATGTTCTGGAAGTAAACAAAGGAGTCCAATGGAGGCGTTTCAGGCAGGGGGGGATGAGGGGTGTTTAGCCTTTGCAGACCATTTACATGCACAACACCTATAACACACTACAGGAAAGGGAAACCCCAAAAAGCAGAATAGGGCCTCTTTAGACGAACTGTTAACACAACGAGCCAATGTATGTTCAGTGTGTAGTACAGTGTTGGGTTTGAATAACCAATAAAGCCTTCTTCTCACCTGTGGTCCCGGAGGTGGTCCTGTCTTCTGAAGGCCTTGTGGCAGATGTCACAGGTGTACGGCCTCTCGTCCGTGTGCGTCCTCTCGTGGATCAGGAGGTTGTAGGATTTGGTAAAGTGGCGACCACAGAACTTGCACACAAACTCTTTCTTGGTCTTGGACGGCAGACGGCCTCGGCTGGACTTGCGCTCGGGGGAGGAGAGCTTGGTCAGGTCCAGGTGGAGGCCGGCGGAGGTCTGGTGGAGAGATGAAGCCTGAGCGGCGCCCCCCCCCATGCTCAGGTCCTCCGCCTTCAGGGGGTCCTCCTGGGTGGCTGCGGCCGCCAGGTTGGCAAAGTCAAAGCGGGGTTTGTTCTTGGAGCTCTGAAACAGACCCGCTGAGTCGTGCTTGGGCTCCAGCAGGTGGGGGAACAGGGGGAAGGAGGCCATGGAGGAGAAGTGGGCGGGAAGCTTGGAGACGGTGCAGCGGGGCAGGGCGAGGTGGGGGTAGCCCAGGGTCCACTGGTGCAGCTGGATGGCGTGGAGGGCGCTGAAGCTGTAGAGGCTCTGGAAGTGTTCGGCCGGCAGCTGGAGGCCCGTGGAGCTCTGCAGGAGGGCGTAGTTGGCCAGCTGGAGCGACGGGTGCAGGGGGACCGGGGCTGGCAGGGTCTTGCTGCCCATGGCTGCTACCCAGAATCCAACAGGGCCTTCTGGAAGAAACACAAAACATTAGCAGAGGAAAATATGCAACTGTCGGGCCAAGTGACATCGATATATTTCTAGTGCTGTCAAAAGTCAATTAATTGAAGATGACCAGGATTTTCTGCTGCACACACACACACACACACACACACACACACACACACACACACACACACACACACACACACACGTAGATATGGTGTAACTACAAGAAACCAGATTAGTGTGACAGGCATCAGGCAGGAATTCAGATAACTCTTCCATACAGGCTTTTAAAACCCACATTCTCCCCTCAGTGAGGGGTCCTTACATTTTACAGAAACTTTCCTCGCACACTTAATGTAAATAATATCCTACTTTTACATTTTTTTGCTGCAATTTGGCCCTTCATAGTGTTTATTGGTCAGATAGTCTACAGATGTTTCTCTTTCACGGTCAACTTGTATACATTTTACTTTTAATTCAGTTTTATTTTCTATTTTGAGATGTTTCTATTTTATGTTTTTTCATGTTCTACTCTTTTTATTTTCAAATGATTTGCAATGTCATTACCTCAAAATAATTGTTGGAAAGATTTGTGTTGAATATGGAGCTGGGGTGTGTTTGTGAAGAAATACTCCTGGCATGTACGCCCTGTGAAACCCAAACAATAATTTCTAGATTACTGCTTGTGTTGGTATAAGGAAAGATGAGAATTCAACTGCTATTTTTTCTCAAAACACTTAATGTCGTGGCTTGGACTGCAACTTGATTGAATCCATACAAAGACTACTGCTACTGACCATGCTACATGTTAGTGCAACATCTACAGCTCCTCTACCACAACCATCAGCAACAAGTGGACATGGAGAACTACATGAACTACATGTTGCTAAATCCACCGCGGGGCATAAACAGAAGGGCAACCATGGCAACCATGCTCGGGGGTCTTCTTTGCTGCTTTTGGTGTATTTTGTGGCAGAAGTACAGCGCCACTTACAGGCCCGGGATATGTACTACATACAGCTACATACAGCGCTTTCGAGCGGTCTCGTGTGAACGGAAGACTTTTTTACACCCCGTGTAAATGGGGTCTGAATCCACTGACAAGGTTTTAGAAAATTCTCACTTTCTGCAGTTTTTTCAGATGGCAACTTATTTGAGAGAGATCATGGTTATAACCAAATAGCTGAACATTATTTGCAGGTCATTTACAAAATGTCAATTTAAATGTCGAGCAGGAAAATCAGCTACAAACCCGTAGAACCAGCCCAACAAGAGGTGAAGGCCACTTATTAAAATGTATAATAATGCCTCTCTGACCTGTGGAATGTAATCGCATACTTTTTTTGAAGAAATACTATACAATACAAATATATGTTAATTTTGTGGCAGAAGTACAGCGCCACTTACATACGGCCCGGCATATGTACTACAGCGTCTCCAGCGCTCCCAAGCGGTCTCGAGTGAACGGAATACTTTTTTGATATCGTATTCGGTTCGTTTGCGTTTGCGTGTAAATGGGGTCTGAGTGGAATGTCTTTCTGGCATTGACACACACACAGAGACACATTCAAGTCAGACAGAGAAATAGTAGTGTGTGTGTTTTTTGTATGTGATTGCGTTTGTTTTTGTGTGTGTGCCTCTGCCTGCAAGTGTGAGTATGCCTCTGTTGTGTGTGTGGGTGTTAGAATGAGTTTGTGCATGAATGTGTGCTTCTGATATTGTTTGTGTGTGTGTGTGTGTGTGTGTGTGTGTGTGTGTGTGTGTGTGTGTGTGTGTGTGTGTGTGTGTGTGTGTGTGTGTGTGTGTGTGTGTGTGTGTGTGTGTGTGTGTGTGTGTGTGTGTGTGTGTGTATGTGTGTGTGTGGGTGTGTGTGACGTGTGTATGTGTTTCCAGCAGCAGAGGAGCTGTAAGAGCAGGTTTGATGAGCAGGATAACAATAGACAAAGTGTGTTTGTCTGAGGCTCACAGGTGACGGTGTGCTCACACACACACACACACACACACACACACACACACACACACACACACACACACACACACACACACACACACACACACACCTCTCACCTCTCACAGACGCTGCATTCCTGCTCACCGTCAGGGTTAAGTTTAACTTCAGAAAGAATGATGATACTTACATCGGGTTACTTTAAAGTCCCATTCTCAACTACTGTATACTTTTACTCTAACACATCTGAGAGGGAGATTGTTAAATGCAGTTTTTGGTGTTTGAAGATGTTTGAACACCACTTTGAAATAGATATTAGAAAGGTAATTATGGCCTGTTTAACTCACACGAGCTCTAAGCAGTCATTCATGAAACTAATAATGCACAGATGTTTCTTTTTAAATCGAAGCAGGTATTTAAATGCTAAATTGGGTATTAAAAAACATTAAAACATTTTACTTGTATCTGTATCAAACTACATTTCTGGGGACGTCCATAAAAGCCTGGACGTTTTTTAATTAATTTAAAACAGTTAATATAACTACATATGCATAAAGCATTTACATTTGTCCACTTTCCAGTTGAAAAATACCGAGTTAAATTATATTAAAATAATACAAATAAAATAGTGATAATAATGATAGTGATGAATATATCCTAATCAGAAAAGTCCTACTTGTAATTTTAGAGAGTGATAAAGTAATCAGAGTAGTGCAGTGTAGAGCTGAGGGAGAAGCTATCTGTTACATATGTGTTGCAGTAACTGCATCTGAACACACACTTTGCTGAAAACTGGCTCCCTCAATGTATATACTCACAAACTTATTTAAACTTCTTATTCTTTTTTACCATCAATGTTTACTTATTAGATTCTTTCTATGCCATTTAATATTTTACTGTACTTTATTTGCCTTTTATCTGTTCGCTGTACATTTCCCCTCAAACACAGACAAACACATATTCTGATTATAAGAATTCAATTGAAAATGAAAATTGTTCTTGCTTTCAGTTGTTCTGTTCTTGGCTCAAACCCATCCCATTGTTCTGAACATGATGGTACAGACGGAGCGTTTACACTGAGCAGCTAACACAGGGAGTAATAAAGAGGATGCCTGCGGCCTGGCCATGCAGGGAAGGGTCTGTAACGAGGACCCCCGGCCCCCCGTGGTGCGCTCCTTTCTGATCATCAAGCAGAAGTAATTGACTTATAGTTAGGGGGTCATTAGAGATAAGCGCTGCGCCGCTGAGTGCTCCTCACCTTCTCCCCTTTCATGTCTGCATACCAGAGGCCTCCAAATCCAAACAGCCATGTGGCCCTTTAACTTCAGCGGACCCTGTGAGATCTGACGCCTCCGAGGGCCTCGCTGTGACGACTGACGCTTCTCACCTCGGTGTGAACGCGATCAGACCGGCTGAGGTACACATGTGGGCCCCGGGTGTTTACCTCTGCAGGACTGAGCAGGTTTTATAGCGTATTAGCTTTTAGCGACGTGCTAATTAACAACTCACAGCGGTGTGTATTTTGTCAGCTGATTCCAGTCGTTTGTGACTCAGTACATTTACATGGGACAATTATCTTTCAACTTCTATGCCTGAAAAAAATAGAGGGTGTGTATCCGGCTCCCTTCACGCATGTCTTCCCCTTTATCTCCCCCTAATTACCCTGTCAAATAAAGGCAAATCTGGGCCAAAAAAACCCATTTTAATTATTGAAATTAAGGCTGCAATAAAAAAACACGTAGGATAATAATGAACAATTCCACCACTTAACTAGTTAACCACTAGTAACATGGAAGTAACAACACTACCGTGGCACAGGGTATAAAAAGGTGTCTGCGAGGGTCAGCGGTTCGATCCCCCCCCCCCGCAGACAACATGTCCATTAATCCGAGGGCAAAATACTTAACCCCCAAATTGCTCCTGAAGGCATCCAATCCCACTTTTTAATCTGAATACTGGGGTTAGCTGCATTTTATACATTTCAATTTCAGACATGCTTATATATCCATGGTTATAGTTAACACCAGTTGTTCTCAATTAAAAACAATTATCAAAAAAAAACAATTAACCTTGAGTTGCGCCAGTAGGCATTTCTACGGTATTATACTTTGGATACAATATTATGAAAAGATTAATAATAATAAACTGAAACTAAACTGTTTTATTTAGTACTGATTTTTCACTTAATACACTTTTTCATAGTTAAAGAAAAAAGGTTCAATCCAGGCAGAAAAATAATGAACAGAATTAACGTAGTTGGAGGAGGACCTTTTTTAGTTTTGTTGAGAACTAGTTTAATCTATAACCATTGATATATAAGCATGTATAATATGAAAATATGAAAACACAAACTAACTCCAGAAATCAGAAAAAAAAGTGACAGAAAAAGTCTCAAATGTGTGTAAACATGTTATTGCGGGTATGGTGATAACTTTTGGTGTTCCATATGAGTCGACAAATTTCCAATTTCATACAGCTGTTAATATGTTTTACATCTGACATTCACAAACATGCGCTGAGTTGAGCGTCCTGTAATCTGTCAGCCTGCTCTCTCCTCATTTCTCACTAAGTCCACTAATGCTCATAATGGTACTGGGGTTAGAACCAAGGTCTTTAGGTGTGGTTACATGTTCTGGGCTCTTCAAAATATGAAATATCTCAAGCTGCCAGAAACTTACGGGCTCCGTTCCACATTACAGATTACTTTTTCTCCTTCTAAAATCAAGTTTGTTATTTTAGAGCATGTGTTGTAAGACATCATGTCTGAAAAAGCTTCATTTACAGATAAGATAAGAACAGAAATTATATGATAAGTGAGCTGATATGTTCAAAAAACAACGGCAAAGAAGCTGCCAATTCCATAAAATCATTTGTAACCGTCAGCAGTGGAATGCATAAGTACATTAATAAAAAACTTCAACTTTTTCTCAGTATTTCCGCAATATGTTACTTTAATATCACTTTGCGGGACAACTTCTCCTTTGTTACTGTGATTCATTTTTAATAAGTTGTGAAAATATGATATAAATGCATTGATTAAACCACCGTACTAAATAAAGGATTTAAAACGAGCACTATCAGGGCTTTTTTAAACACAATTCAACAACCTACTACTTATCACTCCCAAAAACAAATACCTTTTTCTACACTTATGGAAAAGTAAAATAAGTACAGCATAGTGTGGCAGTAAAAGCTTCTTCTTCTGTGGTATCTAGTTAGTAAAGTCTTTCCATGCATGGCCCCCCGCCTCACACACACTCCACTATGATCTGATCTCCAGCCGTCACACCTGCAGCCTCACACACACACACACACACACACACACACACACACACACACACACACACACACACACACACACACACACACACACACACACACACACACACACACACACACACACACACACACACACACACACACACACACACACACACTCTCTCTCTCTCTCTTGTCCTTATCTTCACATTAATCACAGCGCTTCACACGTGTTAATGAGCTCATGCTCATTAGAGTTTATGATGTGATGCTAGGATCAGCTGGAGGCCTGTTTGGAGCTTTGCTTGTTTAGTTAAAGAAACCATGTCTTCAATGCATACGCAACAACTGCTGAGGAAAAGTATTCATATGAATGTGATGACCCTGAAAGTTGAATACAAATAAATGTGGTTACCACTAAATATATTTCAATGTTTAAAGAAAACTAGTGCTGGATGTAGTACGCTTGTGATACACCTGTTGATATACACATTCCTCTAAAAGATACAAGATCTCTACAAAGTATCATTTAAATATGGAGGTGTGGAAGAAGTTTTCAGATGTTATGGACACTTTACTAGTACTCAGATGTTTCACTTAAGTAAAAGTAGCAATACTAAATTGTAAAAAAAACTGTACTCCAAGTAAAAGTCATGCATTGAAATCCTACTTCACTAAAAGTCATCAAAAAATACTTATAAAGAATGATGTTCCATTTAGAAATATTAAATCACTGGATTATGATTATTGATGCATTCATGTCTCGATCACAGATGGTAATTGTGGAGCTCATTTGAATTACTTTATAAACTGTTGATGCTATATTTATTTTTGTAATAATCTTAATTTGTAGAGGAAATAAAGCTGATAGATAAATGTACTGGCGTAAAAAGTGGCTTCCAAAATGAAGTGGATTAGAAGTATAAAGTAGCATAACATATAAATACTTGCTTAAAGTAACTCCAAACTGTACTTAAGTACGCTATTTAATTAGATAAAAGATATGTATTTCATTGCACTTCTGTAAATATGTAGTAACATATGTGGAATGAATTTGGTTTTCGTTTTGTGGATTAAAAAGTGAAGACTTACCAATAAAAGATGTGTTTAAATGTTAAATTGTCCTTGGTCCTGCCGGAGGGTCAGGGTGAGCAGCCCGCGGAGCAGCCTGTGTATCGGGCGGAGAATCACTGAGACCCGGGCAGCGCCGGCATGTTCCTCCGCTGAAACGTCTTCCCTCCGGGGTGAGTGGCGGTGCTGTGGGCGGTGCAGCGTGCTGCTGTGTGGCGGTGCTCAGGGTGCTGTGTGACGGTGCTGCGTTGAGCCTCCTCTGCTCTGCCTCTCCGCGGCCGCCGCCTCTTATTGCGGAGGAGTCCGCCTGAAGAGCCGCGTCACTCCGCCAGCCCACATCCACAGCCCCGCAGGAGACCATCCGTCATGTCGCCGTGTGGAGCGGGACTGTTTGATATGACAGCGGTGGAAGAATCCAGAGGTGGAAGGTCGTGAAGTAGCTACATTTACTTAAGTACTGTACTTAAGTACTGTACTTAAGTACACATTTGAGGTACTTTTAGTTTCAGACTCTAACCCATTGTCAGTATGCGTAGTACTCAGATATTTTACCTATGTAAAAAAGTAAAAGTACCAAATTGTGAAGTGAAAATACTCAGTTACAAGTAAAAGCTGGTAAAAGTGGAGCTTATTTAATTGACTTTACTTTTTTGTATTCTTCTATTTGTTGAAAACGTGTATTTCTATATTTCTCAACTTTAAAAAGGTTTTTTAAATAGCTTCTTGGCAGTGTTATCTAGTTTAAGTGTTATTTTCTCTTGTCCAGCAGCAGTATAGATTAATTAAAATGAGTTCCACATTTACAATCTGTAATGAACACCTTAATGCATCAATAAAAATAAACCACAAAAGACCATTACACTTAATGAGTACTTTTGTTTTGTTGCATTCAATAGATTTTCATGCCAGTACATTTGTACTTTTACTTAAAGGGGACCTATCATGCAAAATGCACTTTTGTACGTCTTTTATACATGAATATGTGTCCCCGGTGTTCCAGGGAACTCACCAAGTGTCAGAAAACACAACCCTCTCTATTTTCCTCCATACCCAAATCTCTAAAAAAGGGGCTGCAACGGATCTGATAAAAACTGATCCAGATTTGAACACTGTCCTGACGTCAGGACAGTGGCGCTACGGCTATTGGGCCAACTCCACCAATCAGGAGGAGACAGCCACGGCCATTGCCGTTCGAAACCGCTGGAGACGCTGTAGTACATATGCCAGGCCAGTAGATGGTGCTGTTCTCACTAAATCTGCCCTTGCAGAGCAGAGCTAAAAAAAAAAGTGCAAATTGAGCGAAATGAGGCATGGCTAAAATGCATGATCTGTTTGGTATTTTGAAAACAGAAACGTATAAATATACCTTATATAGGTATGGCCCTACAATATATCATTTAAATATACCATGATAGGTCCACTTTAAGTAAGATGTTGAATGCAGATTTGTAACAGAGAACTTTTAAAATTCAGTATTGCAACTTTTATTTCTCCTGACGTGAATTTATGCCTACTGATGACTTCTACCTTTACTAGAATCGCATACTTTTCTGAACTCTGCTCAGATACTTTAAAAGGTAGAAATACAATCCACAAATAGTCCCATTTAAGGTTAAGTCCTGAATTCATTATATTAGTAAAAATACAAATGACAGAAGTATTATCTGCATTGCACTTAAAATAATAAAAGTAAAAGTTATATTTTATACAGTATAAATGTGTACGGAATGTATAAATCACGGCTGGTATTAATACTGAAGGATCAACAGTAGGCGATGATTCAATCTGTTAAGCCCTGAGCCTGTTTTTCAGGTTTCAGGCTCGAAAATGACATGCCCAAAACAAATGACTACAACTTAACTTCTAAAAGGGTTATATGAATAATTTATTTTATCAAAGCAAGGTTACATCTGTGAGTTGGATGTAGAAGTGTCAGAATCAATATAGATTTTTCTCAGTCAGAGTAAATTCAGATGGAACATAGCAAAAAAAGGTAAATTCTTACCTCCGCCTAAAGAAAAAACATTACTTATAGTGAAAACCACCCTTGAATGATGGGATGGTAGACTAAAAGCTTTAAAAATCCAAACTATAACATATAATAAGTACCCTGTATCAAGATTGAGGCAAAACAAGTTAAATTTGACCTTTTTAGAGAGGTTTAGCAAAAAAAAGTTCCAGGCGGAATAAGCTTTCGGCACATTTGGGTACATCTGGTTCCATCAGTGCCATTTGACCTTTTTCAGGTACCAGACTATAACAATTGTGTATTACATTGAATTATCACCATAGGTATTCATTCCATCCAAGAAAAAAAAATTAAATTAAAAAGATTAATTTTTTTTCTTTTTTCTTTTTTTTAATTTGTGAAAAAAAGAAAGACCCGCCGACGGGGTCTTTGGGGCTTAACAGGTTTTAAAGAACCCTGTCCGCCCCACACACCTTTCTCTAACAGCCACAAGAACACTTAGGCCCCAGCCACACGAGGACGATAACGGTCGTATCTGCTACAGTTCACTATCAGATAGACGGTTCGGCCACACGAGAAGAAGAAGAAGAAGAACACATCTCTGGAATTAGGCCTTAAATACACATGTGCATTGTATGGAGAAGTGTCAGAGCAAAAGGGCTGTCATGTTGTGGTGTCCGGAAGCAGTGAGGGGTTCAGTGCCTTGCTCAATGATACTTTGATGCAGGGAAGACGTGCATACAAAACTTCTGTTGGTATTTAGTATTTGTATTACTCACACAATAAGTGCTGCTCTGTCTATGGATTGGGAGGGAGTGTTAGTACTCTTTTTATTTATTTATTGGTTTGTGAAGCACTTTGCGTTATTTTTTGTGTATGTACCGTGCTATATAAGTCAGGTTTGATTGATTAACTCATACTGATTTGTTGCTTTGTATATAAACATGTAGCTAACCCTGGGCTTTAAGCTTCCTGGAGCCACCTGAGGTGAGGTGACGGTGTCTGACACACATTTCCCAAAGAACAGCACACAGAGAAGTTGTTTAGTATATCCCAAAAACTATTTATTCAAACAATAAACAGTTGACTTTTAGAAAATAATCAACAGGCCCATGTACTCGGGCTCAGTCCCTGCTGCGGGGACGCAGGTTTGAATCCGGCCTGGGTCTGTTTATGCATGTCATCACCTCTATCTCCCCCTTTCAACACTGTCCCCCTAAAGGTTAATCTGGCTAATCTTTAAATACAAAAATAATAATGTAATCTGTTTAGTAAAATAAAGTTGTCTCCATCTAACCTGACGTCACTCATTCACAAAAAAAGGTAATCATCATCAAAGCATATTTATATAAATACCAAATAAATGAAGCAAGGCAATATCTACTTATTGGTTGATATGTACGGTGGCCGACAGGTGCAAACACGCTACAACTTCCATTGGGAGAAACGTACTGCAGCTTCAAAAACAATGCAAATAGAAAAACACAAATGTGCCGAAACATATGATGAAACATCTTCACCAACTTGAGGAAACACATGCAGCGTTTAGTAAACATTCCCGAAATAGGCTCAATGTTTACTAAAAGCGCTGCATAAACTAAACATTGCAAATATAAAACGCTTAAGAAGCTGAAAACACAACGAACGTGGGGACACTAAAAAGTGACGCACACAACTGGGACCGGAGTGCTTGGTGAAGTTCAGGATTATAAAGTTGGCCAACTGTCACTGATGCAGAGTTAGCCTGTTTCATAACTGTAAGTGTTTAGTCTATAGTATATTTAAAATCACTATGTTAGCTGGTGGCTAGCTAGCAGAGTTGCAATAATGAGATCACATTGTTAAAATAAGACAATAATATTATATTTTAAGGTAAGATTCCAGAGACAGTTGTCCAACTTTATAATCCTGAACGTCACCAAGCGCTCCGGTCCCAGCTGTGTGCGTCACTTTTTAGTGTCCCCATGTTCGTTGTGTTTTCAGCTTCTTGCAGTGTTTTGTTCTTTTAGTAGACGCTGCGCATGTGTCAAGTTGGTGAAGACACATTTGCATGTGTTTTGGAACATTTTTATTTATTTGCATCGTTATGAAGCTGCAGCACGTTTCTCCTGTAGAGCGTTTCCACCTGTCGGACACCGTAAATATGGATTACAAGAAAGGTATTATAAATTCATAAATATATACATTATTATATTCATCTGTTTATATAGATTTTAACAAAGAGAGACAAAGAGGGAGATGTCTATGACATGACTTGTAAACATTGTGTGAAGCAGTAGACACACACACACACACACACACACACACACACACACACACACACACACACACACACACACACACACACACACACACACACACAAACACACACAGTAGCAGCACACGGAGGCTCAGTGACCCTCCACTGACATGATGTTTAGAGGTCACTTACACACACTGTACCAGCTGTTTACATCACTTCACATACATCCTGAGCAGCCAAGAAGAAACATCTGCCAGCCCAGCCTCAACGCCATGTGTTTTTAACGGTACAACTTTTTATTTAAATAAAGGATAAGAAATTGTTAAATCATCCATAGTTACATCAAAGAGACAATAATGATATACCAGTTTTTAGTAGTGGCAAGCACACATTAATACCATTTTTTATTTAATTTGAACACATTTTAAAGTAAAAAGAGGAAGTGAATCAAGTTGGAGTAGCTGCAGGATGACAGTAAGTACTTTATTTACTAGTATATAAGTATATATTGCACAGTGTTATCTTACAACATGTTGTTACACGTATAGTGAAAAAAGAGAAAGCAGCCAGTAGTTGCATTTTAACATATTGCACAACCACAATGTCATGTGTGTTATTGTGTGTGTGGTGGTCTACCAGTGTTGCTTATACAGTCTGCAGGAAGGAAGGACCTTCATCAACAATCAATCTCTCTCAGTCTGGGTTCAGACTTAGTGTTTCATACATGTACTCAACTGTAGTGGGCTGTATGAGGAGACACGTTCACTGCATCAGCTGGAAGAGGTCAAAGGTCACAGGGCAGGAGGCAGTGGATGAAAAGGTCAGTCAGGACGCTGACATATGACATCACAGAGATACACTGTATACTACCAGCTGCTACCTGTTTACTGATGTTCCTACTTCTATGTGCAAGAAACACTCTTCTCTCACTGCCACACTGACACTTTAGAATCATTTACAGCAATCAGTGGATTCTCAATTCAGGTTCAGTGGCCCCCCCTGGTGTTCAGAGGGAGAAACATTGACATTTAAATTC